ACCTCAGCTCCCTTGGTCTCAAACAGAAAGACATGCCATGAAAGAGAAATGCAGTCTGCTGTGTGATAGGGGATCAAGTGCACACTCAGTAAGTTTGCAGGCAACACCAAGTTGGGTGGGAGTGTTGATCTGCTTGACGGTAGGAAGGCTTTACAGAGAGATACAGACAGGCTGAACCAACGAGCCAAGGCCAGTGGTATGAGGCTCAAGAAGGCAAAATGATGGTTCCTGCACTTAGAATCATAGAATCAAATACTTAGGGTTGGAAAGGATCATCTAGTTCCAACAACCCCATGCAATGATACAGGCTTGGGGAAGACTGGCTGGAGAGCTGCCTGGTAGCAAAGGGCCTGAGGGTGCTGACTGACAGCTGGTTGAACATGAGCCAGCTCGTGCCCAGGTGGACAAGAAGGCCAAAGGCATCCTGGTTTGTGTCAGAGATAGTGGAGCCAGCAGGACTAGGGAAGTGATTGGAGTAAGAAACATTAAAAGCCCTAATGAACTCTAATTAGACATCACATACACCAACAAAAACAGTTCCTAAAATAAACCACAATCTGCCTAGTTAAAGAGATACAAGACTCAAACACTATTCCTGTTGTGAGGGGAAACTGCTGGTTCCCTGGCTATTCAAACTTGCTTGAAATCTTAGCAACTTGAAAAACTAAGTTTTAGACCTTCACGTTTCCTTACTAGGTCAACTTTCCTCTCTACAGTGCAAACTTTTTGGCAAGAATAGTAACTTTCCAGCATCTGAGTGAAACGTAGCTTGACTGAAACACACTATCCAAACACATACATACACATTTGTGCACCTATAACATTATCTGCATGTAATTGGCAAGACCTACAAACAGGTGTAGTATTGGAAAGCCTATACATAAATAACTGTTAGCACAGAGACATGAATTACTAAAGGTGTATTACTTTTTGACATGATAACAAGCATGGGCAGTAACTCAATCTAAGATTCCAATTTTTAAAATTAATTCAATTACTCTAATTCTTCTGAGTTTGGTTTCTATCACCTACCCAAATCTCATCTATAAAAGTGAACACAAACAAACTCAGTCTCTCCAAAACACTCTTACAGGGACAGACCTACCAAGCCAACCTCATGTCTGTTGGATTCTCAGAGCCCTGACAAAAGACTTCTCCTATTCCACATTCTCAGAATATTAACATTTGAAATAGTTATAAAGCTCTTGATCTTTATGCTCGCTAAGAAAAGGTTTTTGACATTGCAGTAAGTGCACATTAGGGCCTTCCTTCAAGCATATACCAGAATAGTATTAAAGACACATCTTGACTAAGGTAGATGACTACACAAGGGCACTTTTAGGTAAGGAAGTCCTCAAGGTCCTCAAGTGTTTGGAGAATGTCAGAGAGATTATTCAAAAACAAACAAAAACAAAACCCATACAAGAAAAAAAATATAAAAAGAAAAAATACCAAAACTACACTTGCTCTGTCACTCTTCCAAATAGCCTTTATTCTCAATCACTATTTCTGCTATTCTCATTTCTCAGTCTTTCCTTCTGCCCGCTTTATCTATTTTTACCTTATCCTCTGGGGTTCTTTCTCCCTTTTCTTGACCTCCTGTCATCTAATCCCTACTCTGATTTCCTCTCTGTTTTTGTCATGTGGATGATACTGATCTTTCCATGCTGCAACTTTATTTCACACTTCAGGTTAGAGCAATAGGACATGTATTCACACTCCAACATCATTGTTTCAAATACATTCGCAGACTCAAAGACAAATGTACAAGCTATTTCATTCAGATAGCATTTTCTTCAAAAGACAAAAAAATATTGTACTCCCCTCTGGGTAAAAAAAAAAAGAAGAAGAAGAAATGGAGAGAGAGAAAAACACAAAAAAAAAAAAACAAACACAAACATGAAAACATGTTTGCACACATTAACAAGGCTACAAAAATACAGTAGACAAGGAGCAGACTATCAATCCTGCAGTTTACATGTTTGCTATAGACACCGGCCACATCTCCAGACAGCAGGACTACAGAATGGCAGACATTCATTACTTCAATAAAGATACTCTACAGGTTAGAGTATGCAACCTCCACAAAATGGTGACAATCAAAAACCTGGCAGGGAGTGATGCAGAAGGAGACAAGAAATAAAACAGAATGCTTTCCAGTTTGCAAGAGCAGAGAGAGGGGATAAAGGAAAAAAACTGTACAAGATTTATTTCCCTTCCCTCATCCAAAAGTAACTCTCCACATAAAAACTTCAGGGACTCTATTCATTTTCAGGATGGAGAATTATACAGCAATGGATCTCTAAACATTCAGTTAATGCAAAGGGATCATGAGCAGCAAAGCAATGCCAGAAAAAAATGGAATTGCCCATTTCCTATACACCAGATGTACAGGAAGAAATATACTAACCTAAGTCATGGCTATTGTGCAAAATAAACTTCCACATACTGACTTGTTTACATATGATTCCTCAATTAAACACTTTCAAACAAAATCCAGTCAGCATGTAAAAACTTAATCCGATCAAATATTAGGTATTATTTCCTTACAAGGTCAATGAGCCTGACTTTTTTCAGTTAGTAGTATAGGCCTCTATCTGTGTTTATATTACAACACAACACTCAGGCTTAAATTTCCTTCCTGACAAAAAATAAATAAAATAATAAATAAATAAATAAAAGGGTTTAGATTTGATGACAAATGTATTTTAAGAGCAAATTTCTTCTCTATCTCCCCAGAGAGACTCCAGTAACAGTCTGGATAGCAACCAACATCTGTGTAGTACTACTGCTACTAAGTATTAATATACTAAATTCTCCCTACTATAATATTAGGTGAAATTTAGACCCTGACCTGTATAAAAGTGTTTGAAAAGGAATTACCCGTTTGTATCAAAATAACTATTTATAGGCATAGACTGCCACCTAGTGACTTTTATTACACGTGGGGAGTTTGAAAAAAAAAAAAAAAAAACAACAAAAACAGATTACCAACCTTCCTCTTCCAGGAGAAAAGGGAAAAAAAAGTTCCTTCATATTTTACATGAACATATAGAGACAACATCATATCACTTATATCTCCTATTATTATTATTTTGATGGTAAATGCAGAAGGGGAATGAGGAAAGAAGAGTCAGTAAGTGTATGTTATCCTCCTCATACAGGTAAAATCCATAACGTTGCTTGTTCATCTATTCCTTCTGGAATTCCTCCTCATTTTATATGGACTCTTATAGCTTTTGCATAAAACAAGTGTTGCATTCAGACCTTATTTAATCTCTAGGACAACACTTACATGGACAGCCACTCCTCTCTCAAAACTTTGGATTCCTTCAGTTTTTGCATTTTGTCTTTTCTGGTTCTTCTCAGCATTGTAATTGCATTTTCAGTACATTCTCTAGTTCAGCTTCACCATTCCCTCTTCAGTCACTGCAGCTTTCTACAGGATTTTGCTATTTGTGAAGAAGCCAAGTTACCTGTGTCATCTGACCTGCCTTAAATTACCATTGTATAAATAACCCTTAAACTGATGATACCTTCAGAGTTCTTTCTGTCCAAACTTGTATTTCAGGTAACTGCTTTCATTTACTTCTGGCCATCTAATTAGCAGCATAAGAACTCTTATTTTTAATTTCATTCTCCATACCCTTCTCTCTCAAACACTATAAGCATCGTCAGTTCACTTCTCATCCAGACCTAAATCTCAGAATCTGCAGGACAAATGGATCTTAGGAAGATCTTTCTGTAATGAATCTGTAAGACAAACTTGTTTTTATTTGAGTAAGAAACCAGCAAAACCTTTTCAAATTTCTCCTTATCTAGCTAACACACTTTATCAAATATAATCTTTGCAATGCTCTGAATGAATATGAAGAGACAGTTCTGTACCTTGTTAATTTGATCTTACCAGCACTTTATGTACGTACCCACTGTATTTTACAGTCACATGAAACAAGAGCATTTCTTAGCTTTTGCTTATCAGATCTATCCTCTCATTTAACATAAAGAGGTCAGTACTCCTGATAATAAACCTGATTCTAGCTAAGCTGCTGATACGCTGTAAGTGTTGCTTATCATACTGACTAACTCAGTGTAAATAGCTCTCTGCACATCTCAACAGTAGCCTGTGCAAACTGGGGCACAGGCTATTACAGAGACTTTGAACAGCACTTTTGAATACACCATCAATAAAATGCTATCAAGGAATTAAATAACGTCTGTCCTTCGTTCCAATATTATCTTACTTTCTTATATCAAAGAAAACCAACAAATTACCCTCAAAGCAACAGCCTAACAATATAAAATCTATTCCTTTTGTCTTTTAGAGTTACAGAACTCTTAACCTCAACATGCAGCACTAATGATTGTTGCTAATAAAAGTCACAACCAAACTATTTTAATATTAACATATAAAACAGAGCGTGAGAAAACATCTACATAATAACTGAGGCAGAAAAAAATACAACAATGTGGTTATGTTTTTAAAACATCTTAAAAGTACAGCCTTTCTCCTCTCCCTTTTATGGGTCACTCCAAAAGAAAGAGGTTGATCATGGTGAACTCCAAGCTGGCAGTAACTCATGTCCTCCAGAGCTTAAATCCGTTTTAATGTAATTCTTTCACTTCTTGACAGATGGGACAAAAAACATCACCATGTATCATTGCTAAGAGGCTTTAATTTGATTGCAGTAATTAAATGGGGCCACATTATGAATATCCAGTCCAACTGCAGTTTAAAAAAAATACAAAGTTACATTTATAAAGTTAGTTGAATAAAGAGAAGACTCCAGAAACTATTCCAGCAAGTTCTGAAAGCTTTGAAAGCTTACATAACTGGCAATACATTCAAAATTTTTCTCTTTCCAAGGACAGAAAGGAAAACATAAGTTCATTTACAGGGTTTCTCTCCCACATGTTCTTCTCTTACCCCACAAATCACAGAGGGGTACAAAAGAACAAAGAAGCTAATATCAAAATGTCAGATTTAAAATTTAACTTACCATATTTGTCTCGCAAGCCAACTGTACACCTGAAGACTCCACCAAAGGCCACATCTTCACCAAATATTACTGAAAAATAAGAACAATAGAGGAGGCTAATGTTACTCCAATGCATCTTACTTTTAATGAACTTGTTTAAAAGGTTTTTGAGACACTAACGTAAGACAAGTGCAACTCTCAGTATTCAAATTACTAACCTTACAGTGCAGGTGATGTAGCCAATAAAGTATTATCTCTAAAAGTAATTGCCCTTAAAATTTCGCTTCAAATCAACTAATCTTGGGTTTGTTTATTCTACCTTTGAATTTATGGAATAATGATGTTTAATTTTTCTTAATACAGTGTTGTTATTTGATTCACAGAAATAAGTATTGGTCATTTCAATTTTTTTTTAAGCATGTAAGAGATATGCAGCAGTATCACCAATAGCAGCTTGCATGAACTGGGATCAGTTCTGATAATTTACAAATCCCTTGATACTCTAGATATTCTAAAGAGCAAAAAAGAATAAGTTAGACTCCTTATCCTTCAAATATTATTTTTGTTTAAATACATTTCTGGTTGGAGGCACTAAAAAGGGCCTAACACACTTCTGAAAATGATGAAAAATTACACCACTTAAAGAAAAACAACTTGTATAATGATGGAAAACCAATGCAGTCATGGAGTATATGACTGAAGTGTGCCCCCAGATCATCTAATTCATTTTTAATATTAATTTGTTTTGGGGTTTATGTATTTAAAATCTTTGTAAGGCCTTTCCATGACCACATGACTACTCACTTTTGAGCCAGTTGACTTAAAAAAATAAAATCCCATTTAATGCTGATATCAGCAAATTTGCCTGGGCTTAGCAATTCTGGTCAGCCACTGAAAATATCTTCCTGGACAGATTCTCATTCTCATTAACACAAATATGAGGATTTCCACTACTTAAGCAAAAGTTGCTCAATTCCAATGCAACTAAAAACATATGAAGAACATGCTTTCTATTCCATGAAATACTCATTAATTCAGTAAGCAGTGAACTTGACAACTGACAAGGCTGGACTGTAGAACTCCAACATGGTCTTGCAAAGAGCTTTGCAAAGATCTAACCCGGGAAAGCTGAGGAGCAAGGCTGGAACCTCAGAGTGACTAAAGGGCTAAGGACTATATGTGAGTTCAGATTCCTGATGGACTAACGGTCTACTTATTTTTACATGGCTGATTCTAAGGAAATCGTACTAAAATCTGTTCTTGGCACTTAGACAAGGGCACACGCTTGCTTGTATAAGCTTAATTCAATAAAGGTGATAATAACACAGCTGTAGATTGAGAGGAAATGTATACAGGCATAGTACTGGACAGATAACACAGAATTTGCCCTAAGAGATGAGATAATTAGTCAGACTTCAGGTTAAGCAGTGGTTCAAGCAGTACCAAAAAGTGTTATTAACACACTAAAAAAAAAAAAAAAATAAAATCTCTTTCAGATATCTGGCCACCATCATGCCTTTGTTACAACAAAAGAAGCAAGAGACCTGTTATGTATAAGAATTAAAAGTGGAGTAAATAGCTTTTTGCAAAAGAGTTTAGGATAAACCTTTTAAATCAAGCTAAGATGAACTAGCATCTTCAAAGTTATAGGTTATCCAGACTGCAAAAGCCTATAAAAACCTTACATTGTCTATGCATGATGATGAACAGAAATCAATAAACCTGGAAAGGATTTTTGGAGCAGGGGAGAAGAAGGAAGGAAGGAGAGAAGGAAAAATGGATAGAGTGAGGAATATATAGTCTCTGAAAACATTTCGAGCGTAGAGAGTTGAAGGAATTAAAAACTAAGATTTACATTTTTAAAATTCCTTTATCTACTAGTACCTTTAACTAAGTTAAATAAGCTGCCTGTAACTACACATCAGTAATACCAGAAGCATGTTAAGCAGTGTATCTTTCTGTCCCAATTTTAAAGTGAAATTAACCCAGCTACCACAGAAGACACATAGAATCATAGAATAGTTAAGAGTTGGAAAGGACCTCAAGATCATCTAGTTCCAACCCCCCTGCCATGGGCAAGGACACCTCACACTAAACCATGTCACTCAAAAATGTCACACAACTGCACTTCAGATTTTATAATCCTTTAATAATCTGTTAATACAACACATTTTTAAGATTTGAGATCAAAGTGTAGAAATAACTTGCTAGAAAGCTTTAAAGGCCACAAGAAATGCATTTAATAAACAGGGAAAACAAACGGAAATTTGCACAAAGCAAAAGACACTAATAAGTGCAGTATACCTGCAGTCGGATCTTTGGCTAGAGCATTGTCCAAGGCACTTGTTATGGATTGAAAGAGATTCATCTTCTGCGTCTCACCTGTGTAAAAGTGATTAGTTAATAATTTAATTTGGTTCAAAAAACAAAGTATATTAGAAAACACAAAGCACAACTAAAAACTTAGTTAACAGTCATAAACAAGATCCCTGTTAGGAGTACTCAAGAGGCATTTGCTGAGTAAACTTAAATTATGGTATGGAGGGGATAGAGCATGTTATACTTTGCAATCCCAAGGACTATAAATCTACTACCCTGCATTCAACCTTTTTACAAAACCTATGCCCTTAGCTAGAGCAAATGCAGCTTTGCAATGCTTAGTCAAACACTAGGAACAATGACTATTACAATAGTCTTTCAAAGGAAGAAACCATAGTAAAGCTTTATCGTTGTGAGGACTGGGATCCTTTCTAATAAGATTCATCAGATCTTATTAAGATTAATTCATCATTCTTTCGTTGTTTTTTTTTTTAAAGCTCCAGCCTTTCCTGTTTACAGACTCATTATCAGAAGTTTTCTGATCAGCCTTCTCTCTGGACTGCAGTTAGAAAGTGTCAGAAGCATCAAATCCACACTGCAAAGAAAGATAACTTGACGCTGAACAGCTATACTTAAAAGAGGTAAAAAAAATGCACCAGACTGCCGTATTGAAGTCTTCCAGAGTGCAGACTGAAAGAAAACCTTTAAGACCCAAATGCCCTTCTCCACTCGAGCACTGCAAGGAAAAACAAACAGGCCTAAATGCAAAGATGGAATAAAACAATAGTCTTGTCCCCACTACTGTGACCAACTCAGATTCTCCAAGGATATAAAATAATGCCTTACCAAAAACTAAGTGAGTAAGAAATTGCCTGGCTGATATTTGGTAGCTCTTTAACTGGCAAAAAACCTCTATCTAAGCCATGACTAGAAGCCACAGATCAGGAGAGTCCTACCTTCCAGCACACACAGCACTTAAAAAGAAATCACAAACAAACAAACAAACATTAAACAAGAACACACACACAAACAAACAACAAAGTAACAGTTAGGTGATGATCCCAGACAAACATGAGAACAGGTGTTAGAAATCAGGCAAACAATATTCTTTTTCCAGCAGTGACATTATCTCTCAAGCTTTCCTTCTTCCTATATTGCTAATTAACATTAGCAAATTTTCTTCAAGACTTATGTCATGCCACACCAGGGCTGAGTAGCTGCATTCCCATGTTTCTGTACTCGGTAGCTTCACCTGTTACACTTTACACTGCACCTTAAGAAGGGGAAGCTGTAAAAAATAACACGTTATGGGAAACTGTTCAAATTATATGAAAGCTACAAATAACATTTACAAATTCAAGGGACAGAAAGCTGGGGAACAGCAGTTGTTTCTCTTTTTTCCAAGTTATCCACATTAGTATTTAGGTTATCTTTTCCATAATATATAAACCTTCCAGTATTTGTTATAAATAAATGCTTATTTGTTATAAATAAATGCTTACGCAGCTGTCAGAAAGTCTTCACACTGACTGTCCTGATCTGCTGTTCTTACTTATAATAAAGGCATCCTGGGAAAGGAGAACTAATTGTGTCATTCAGATTTGAACTATGAAGTTGGAGAAGCATTATCTTAGCAAATCAGGATGAGCAGCGGCTTAACTTTATTTCACTTTCACCGTTTTTCACAGAATTTCAAAGGAAGGAAATAGTTTTCTATTGATACAGGGCAACAAAACTGGCCTGACCCACTAGAGCTTTTTCACTATGATCTCAAGCAGGGACCTGCAGGACACAGTCCTTTACTCCTTGACACCTTGAATGCCTCCAGCCCCCAGTGACTAACAGAAATTGACAAGAGTTTTCTCAGACCTAATGACCAAGCTGGAACACCAAAGGTATCCAATCAAGTAGCATCCCTCTAGAAGACAGTGTGGTTCGTGTGAGAGAAACCACTATTCTGCAGCTGGCAGGCTTCTTCCAGAACTCAGCACAACTCATTTTCAGGGTTGCATCTCAGACACAAAAACACCAACTTTCATCCTGAGCTAGTTGTTTACAACTAATCTGTGTTTACTCCCAGTCGTGTGATCATGGCAACTACCTCGAAGTTTTCACTACACAGCAGTCTTTTTTAACAAGTTTATCACCACATTGATAACTTAATCATGCAATAAAACACTAGGAGAGATTAAGTCATTAAGTTACTACTAGAAGCTTCACCAGTGAAACAGAAGAGGGTCAGGGAAGGCGCTTGCAGGTCTGCGCTCATAATGGGTAGGCTATTGCACTGACTGCCCAAAAACACTCCATCAGGGCCGTGAGGGGCTGAACAGGCCTGGAGCACCCCTGCCAGCCGTACTCCGGGGCCTTCTCACCAGAAACCAGGTTTTTTCACGCCAAACCCTCAAGTACAACAGCCGCAGCCACAGCAGAGGACACGCACCCAGGCCAAGGCGGCCGCCGCCGCCCGGGGTCTCGCCCCCACTGTTGAGGTTGACGAGTACCCCACCGTGACAACCCCGCTCCCGGCTGGGGCAGTGCCGCCCGAGGGAAAGGAGGCGGGAAGCGCCCACCCTTCTCCCTCCCCACCGCCACACCCCGGCCGGGCACGTCCCCGAGAAGACGGCGGTGGGGCGGACCCGGCAGCACTCTTGAGTGTGACCCCGGCCCTCAGGGTGGACCCCGGCCCAGCCCCGCTCTCACCGTACTCGGTGGGCGCCGGGTCCGGCTGGAAAGAGAAGTGCGCCGCGGACCGGCGGGGCGCGGGCGGGGGCAGGCGGCTCCAGAGCCCGCCGCGGCAGCGCACCGTCACTGCCGCCGCCCCGGAGGGGAGCGCCCCTCGCAGCGCCAGAGCCAGCCCCGCAGCCGCCATGCCCACCGTTGTCAGGGGCCGCCGCGCGCTGTACAGGGGCGGGGTCCTGGGAGGGCTTCCTCACTGGCCAGCGGCGGCTGGAGGACGGGCCAATCAGAAGCCGTTCTACGGTGGGTGGAGGGGTGGGAGGGCAGGGGAAGGGTTGAGTGCGCCTGCGCGGGAGGCGCGCTGCTGGGGGGTGAGGGAGGTGAGGCTACGTGTTGGGCACGCGGCTGCGGCACGTGGGGTGTGACGTACGCGCTGGAGGCGGGCTGTGCGCGTGGTTGCCGTTGCCGTTGCCGTTGCCGTTGCCGTTGCCGTTGCCGTTGCCGTTGCCGTTGCCGTTGCCGTTGCCGTTGTGTCTGTGTGAAGGGCGGCCCCGCAGAATGCGCAGAGCCGGGTAGCCGGTGCTTTTCCCGGCCCGATGTGCTGCGGGTATTGGTGTGACAGGCACTGGGCACATTGGGCAGTGCGAAACTGGGCCTCGCCTCTCACAGTACTGTTATAAGCGTGGGTAAAACAAAAAGGCTTAACCTTTTCCCATAAACATGCTTTTCTTCCACTGGGATTTTCATATTTCTGTCCCAGCAGAGAGAAATACTGAACAAATGCCTGAAATCCTCAAATTCTACCCCAGCAGATGGCCTGGAAGGATAAAAAATGATAGACCTGAAACGGCCTCTCAACTGCACATCCAACCTCTGCCTCATATTTAATTATTCATCTTGTTCAAAGTGTTCTTTTTTTTTTCCCTCTTGCTCATACCATAATTAAATTATTTTTTAAGCAATTGAAATGAGTTTCTTATGTATTTTCTTTGTAAGGTTTTATAAAACACTCTGACGTTCTTAGCAAAGCGACCACCTCACAGTCCTTCCCCGGATGCTTGCCCAGGTGAAGGTTCTTGCTCTACCTTTGCAGCCTTTCTTCCTCCATATGTCCATCACTGACACCTTTCAATTGCTTCTATTGAAAGGCACCTCTACATCAATCCTTCCACTTTTACCAATGCTTCACATCTTGTCCATACACATCCCCTTTCAGTTCGTGTCTGTCTTGATATTATCTCTAAGACTGACCATACTGGATAGCATTTTTACCCTGCTCCAAGAACTCTAATTCCAAAGCTTTGCCTCAGAGAAAAAGACTAGAAACTAAAATAATGTATATATGGCATTACCTCTTTGAAACGAGGGAGCTCATGCATAACCCAGCCTGGAAAGGATCTTATTTAAACACTGGAATATAAGATTTCGTATATAGTATGAAATACATATCACTATTATGATTAGATACTCTTTTTTTCCTGTCTGACTTCCAAGCCACTGTGGAATATCCTTCTTAATGACCACAGGACCGTGGCAGTGAAAACCATTGTTTCATTATGTATCATGTGAAAAAAAAAAAAAAAGTTTTTTTTTCACGTTTAATTTATTCATTATTGGGATTTATGCAAAATAAAAGCCTTTATCTTACTAACGGCTGGGAAGACCAGTCACTTGCTCTTTAACATGTCCTTTATCTTTAGAGTCAGCGCACTTGTAGTAAGCGTGGGTAAAGCCCTACCCAAATCTTTGTTCGCAAAGTCAAGCTATGATGATGATGATGATATCTTTAGAGACTGCTGACAAAGCACCCAAGATGATAGGATCAAACAAGTTCTTCTGACATGCCTCAGTATATTCCATGGAAGCAAAATACTGATGACTATCTAAAGGACATGAGAATTTTAATACAAGCAATAGAAAAGCAGCCTCTCTGATGAAAGAAGAGTATTGCTAAACTCTGACTGTAAACTATGTGATATATTTGGTTTATGTACAGTTATTTTTGTCATGCTGTATTATTTATAAAATGTGGGCGTAACCTTGGTCAGATATTCCAGGAGATGCTTCAGTCTTCAACATGGGCAGAAAAAGGATTCTCCTTGCTGCCTTCATTCAGTGACTGCTGTCTCCTACATCTGGTGACACATGAAGCTTAAAAAGCAAAAGAATGGTTATAGAGCCCAGTATCCTACAGAAGACATGGCATTCATGGTGGAAGGGTGGAAAGAAGAAATACCTTCAGTAACACCCATTCAGTTGCTATTCAAACCTAGGTGAAAGAAAGTGTCTGGAGATGAGACTTGCCACGTAAATTATTATTGCTTTTTGAGTAGAAAATGTAGTTTGTCCACATGGCCTTGGGAGTTTGCACTGATACTAAATAGGATACCCAGGATGAATGGGCAACCAAAAAGGTTTGTCCAGATGTATTTTGGCTGACTAGTATGTTAGTGAAAATGAGTCCTAGCATTCATGTCTTTCCAGATCTGATGGGGTCTTAATTATATCCATGTTGTTCCTGGTATACATTACCATATTCCAACAACTTCAGTTACATTTTGAAGACAGTTTTCTCATTTGGAAATTGTTCAGTCACTTGGGGCCACTTCTATTAAATCTAAACAGCAGACTTTGAAGAGCTGAAATCAGCTACATTCCCCATCTGTGTGTATTAGTCATTATGTGCATCCTTAGTGTTGCTGACAATCATTAAAAAACCCTGGCAGTCATTACTATTATTTCTGAATAGTCATGCACAGCAATTAATGAGGATTTGATGATGATTGCAGACCCTACTGACAAGTTTATGCCAGCATTAATCAGATGTAACTCCTCTGAAGTCCATGCTGTTACCTCCGATTGACATGAATCTAACTGGGAGCAAATTGCAAGTACTGGACTCTGACATGAGCATATGGCTCCATGCCTATTATTCTACTCCAAAATCTCTCAAAATTTGGACATAGCTTACAACTGAACCTTAGCATCCTTCTGAGCTTGCCGCGTTTCCCAGTATGTGTTGCTTTATTTAAATTCTGTCTCTGTAGATGAGAAGGCATCCAGGTGATTTCTGTACATTTCTTCAAGTGTAGTTTCACTGTTGCTTTCTTGTCAATTCTGCCTGTCATGCTGTAGCATTGCTGTAAGTTTTCCTCACCTCTCTGTGTTTTATTGAAGGAATTCTGTAGCATGTTCTCCAAGCCAACAGTCAATTAGCTGGTTCATCCCCTCCTAGAGGACCTCCTAGTAAGCACTTCTGTCATGATACTGTGTCTTGGCACTGCAGCTGTTTTCTTGCTTTGTTTTTGCTGTCTTTTGTCATTCTCCTACCCTAATTATGATCTGCTTCATCCTTCTTTTTCTGTAATTTATTGGTAATTTGGATCTGTTTTCTCCTCTGCCCCTACTTCCTCGCTCATGCAAATAGGTTATTTTGCTGGTTAGAGACTGTCATCTCTTTCTTTGGTATGTATAACTGAGGAGCTGTTTTCTAAAGTACACTATGGAAATGAGGAGATGCAGCTTTTGGCCTGGCTGCTTTTATTGTCAGTCCTGTACAGATTAGACCTGTTAATAGAAAGGATAGTCTTACCCCTAGGGACAAGTAAGACAAACTGAACAAAAGCAGAGCAGCAATGGTTTTGAGCAAAAGGACTCTAGAAGTGAATGGTTTCATCTTAGGTAGCATAAATGCCTGGGACTGTTTTGCAGTTTAGCAGAGAAATTATTATTTTAGATATTGTTGATAAAAAACAATCCAGACCAGGGGCACTGCATCTGGAGCCATCCAAGTTGTAGTCTGGCAGAGAGCAGGAGATAAAAAGGAAAAGGAGCTTTAATAAAGTGATTTTGTATGCATTTGCACATAGCACCAGAAATCATCCACTTCTGCCATATCACCCATGGTGCTTCCCTGTCAGTCTAGAATAGTAACTGTGGCTGTCATCCCCAGTTGCTTCTTAGATTTTTAAACACTTCACCAGAATGACCACACTTGAGTTAAGGACAATCTTATTTTTAAATTATATGAGTTATTCCTAACCTTAAGTGAACCAGTGCTAGAAACAGCGGTGTCTATCCACAGAGACATTCTTAAGCTGTTTTTTATAAGGCATTTTGGTGTTTTATAATTACGGGAAAACAATCCCACTTTCCACTGTTTAATTCAATTAGTTTTAATTGCTTTGTAAAACCACAGAGCATATTCTAGACTGTGACTCAGTCTAGAAATACCTGTACAGCAAAATGCTTTCTAATAGTTGCAAGTTCATAATTCCAACCAAAAAAAAAAAAATCATAATGAAATCCAGTTTGTACATGGAACAAGGACCACATTTTTATCTTGAGAATAATTAAATGTAGGAACATTTTGTCTGAGAACATGCTGGATTCTCATCACTTCTGTTCCTCAAATAGTAGCTAGATTTCTTTGTAGAAGAAGTACTGTAGCTTGAACAAAATTACGATCTTGATACCAAAACTACTGAGTGATATCATGCTGAAATAATATTAACACCTCCCATTCTAAAATATCTGTTGTTCATTAATAAGCAAGAAGTACCATTTGATTGATTAGGAAAGTATGCCAAAAAATATCAGATTCAGAAACTAGCAGCGAGATGAATTCTTCACAGATATATATATATATGTATATATAGTTATAACTGATGTTATAAACAGTGTTCAGAAAGCAAATACACAGAAGACCCATTGTCATGGTTTAAACTCAGTCAGCCACACAGTCTGTCTCACTCCCCTCCTTCCTCCCCCCCGCTTCCAGGGGGATGGGGAGGAGAATCAAAAGAATGTAACTCCCACAGGTTGAGATAAGAGCAGCCCAATAACTAAGGTATAACACAAACCACTGCTGCTAACACCAATAATAATAATGATAAGGGAAATAACAAGGGAAAATAATGCAACTGCTCACCACCCGCTGACCGGTACCCAGCCCGACCGAGCAGTGATCTGCCTTACCTTCCTCGTAACTGCCCCCAGTTTATATAGTGGGCATGACGTGCTGTGGTATGGAATACCACTTTGGTTAGTTTGGGTCAGGTGCCCTGTCTCTGCTTCCTTCCAGCTTCCCCTCCTCCCTGGCAGAGCATGAGACTCAGAAAGTCCTTGGTCAGAGTAGACATTACTTAGCAACAACTAAAAACATCGGTGTTATCAGCACTGTTCCCAGGCCAAAAGTCAAAAACACAGCACTGCACCAGCTACTGAGAAGGAG